GGGTTGGAGTATCCGCACATCAAAGGACAAAAGCATGGCGGCCACCGTGGTGCCGCTAACGATGGATGCTAATAARAAATCTTTTGTTAAATGGYACCAACGCTCCCCTGAGAGGCCGCGATGACGTAACGTGCAATCGAAGAATAGCAGGCGAATCCGCAAGCATGCGTACTGAGTGCCTGCAATTTTTCAATAGAGTTCGCCGTACGATCTACTCAGATGTTGTTTCAGGATTCGATGAGTTAACGGTGCCCTGACGTAGATCAGCCAAAATGTTGTTTTAGGGTTCGATCTGTGAGATAGCCGTGTCCTGAATTTGATAATGCACCATACATCTAGATCGAGGTTGTTTCAGGGTATCAATAAAACTTGATTCAGTTACAAGATTCAGGTACAAAGTGACTTAGCAACCTCGTATACTACCACTACCATAATCCCTTGCGCACATACTTACTGTTCACGTCAAAAAAAAAAAAAATTCAGAGATGCATTTGACACAGGTGGTAACTTTTTGATTCCACAGTTTTCCAGCTTTCAATTGCATGTAAAGAAATGACCTTCAAGATTAATCTCGGTGGTCAAGCCTTGGTCAACCATACTTTTCTAGCCACTCAAGCCACGGACGATGGCCATTGCGAAGCCTTATGTTTTTTGGATGATCGTTGTATTTCATTCAACTCTGGGAGAGGCGCTTCTGGGGAACTCAATATCTGCGAACTCAATGAAGCTGATCACAAAATGTTCCCCGATGATTTGCTTCCAAGATCTGACACCATATACAGAATGGCTGAGGTGAGATTTGAAAAATTTAGATGCTATAGACGCATTGTACTATTACATTATGGCAGCCAATACAAGAGGCATAACAATATTTTTCCCCTGGGAAACTGAATTTTCTCATGTAAATCAGATTAGACCAGATTCAATAGTCCCCTTCACAGTACCCTGCGCCATCTTGAAAGGTAGCCGTGCCTTTGCATYGAAGCGAGATGAGCGGTGAGAGAGAACTTTTTGTAACTACTTGGACAATTATCAACATGTCTCTATCATTGTAAGCTCACCGTTCGTCTCGCTACGATGCAAAGGCACGGCTACCTTTYAAGATGTCGCAGGGAACTGTGAAGGGGACTATTGTTACTACATCATGGCTCCTGTCATGGCGGTGATCAGGTAGCGCAAAGTCTCTATGAGAGCACCCACTCTTTGGATGATAAAGCGTTACACACACTCCGTTCATGTAATGTATATGAGTTTGCTGTGCTCTGATTTAGATCAGCCAAGAGGTTGTTTCGGGGTTCTTTAAAATTGAAGATCCTACCCTTCTTGTTTTAGAATATTTCAATACATGTTTTTAATAATCAAGTGTCTTATCTTATGGCAGACCACATGTAATTGTAGCAAGAATGAGATATGTCGTCCTGATTTTGAGTCACAAACTCATCGATGTATATGCAACCATGGTTACACGTTAGAAAATTGCAGCACAAGTAAGTGTTGAAGATGTAGAGCCACTCTGTAGATATGCTTCAATAAATCGTTATTATCATTATTATTATTGTTATTATTATTTTTCTCTCTTTTTTTGTTTTTTGTTTTTGTTTATTATAAATAGATATATTTTTTATTGTAGGATATGTGAAGAGATAATCTATACGTCATTATTATTATTATTATTATTATTATTATTATTAATTCTTTAGCTCTGTTCAAGAGAATATTCTCTACTTTTACATGCCCGATAATGCTTTGCGCCTTAGGGGTAACCAATCGAAACACAGTCTCAAAATGAAACGTTCTTCAAGACTTCATATTGAAGCTCTCAACATTCTCATTGGTATTCTTTATATAAAGAAACTAATGAAGCTTGGGGCTTAAAGGTCTATGCACGTGACGTGTATAGTCGCTCTAATTTGGTCCAAAGGTTCATTAATTATTCAAGAGTATTTAAAAGGCGCTTTAAACGACACTAACTAAAACGTTTATAAACAGGTTTTCAAGTGACAAACTGCAATGGCTATACAGACCAGCGTATTAACGTTTTCGAACTCGACGGGTCAAACGCATCACAAGTCAAGTACAGCATCTGTAGAGTAATCTTGAACGCAAACGCTGACACGTTGCCGACTCAACCGTATCGTTTGACAGTCGACCTATATTCTAGAAGGCCTGATAACTCAAACGTCACGCATCCTGGAATTGGATTTAACGTCGTGGACCAAGATAATTTTGATTACATTTTATTCAGGTAAGCTGACAGCCATTTTATAATCGCCATTGTTATTTAGGTGGAGTCAGACACTACACCCTCGAGGTCGAGTTAGATTTGCAGTGCATTGTTGGATTGTATCAGGAAAACGAAATAGACTMCATTTTGGAAATGAAACATTCCCACAATGCACTGCTAATCCAACTCGTCCCAGTCTTTTACTCAACCTCAGAGTAGCTAATAACTATGCGACCAACAAAGTACATTCTAATGATAGCATACAGGGGGATCATACAGGGGTACTTACCATTTTTATATTACACTCAACAAAATTACTCGACTCTGATTGGTCGAGAGGAGTACAATTATAGCGTTTATTTTATACCGAATACCGAATTAAGTCGTTATGGAAACACGGCCAAAACAATGTCAACAAAAAACAAAAAAACAAAAAAACAAAAAAACAAAAAAAAGCCGTAAAAACTAATAAGAACTAATCTTTTTCATGCATTTCAGTTGCGCGATGGACTGAAAATCGGCCGCCAAATAGACAAAGATGAATGGCGTCGCTTCGCATTTTTTACTGAAATKTTGTTGAGTGAACTATAAACAAAAAATCGCACGATCTTCTCGTACAATTTGGAATTAATAGACACTCGTAATGTTTTGAAAGTTCTTTAATTGCACTCGCCTAAAGGCTCGTGCACTTACAAAAACTTTCAAAACATTACTCGTGTCTATTAATTTCCAAATTTCCAATTGTACTCGAGATCGTGCGATTTCCTATACAAACCAATCTCTCCGATTGGTAATTAATTCGCTAATGGTAAGAAAAGAGCGGCAAACTTTGACTTTCGAAAAGTGGTACACGCGTCTACCGAAAAAAAACAAAAAGAGCGGGAAAAGTGGATTACCTCAATCGCAAGACCGAGTTTTCCGGAACTTGCCAATCGGAATGATACATACCTTTCTTTTCCAACCGGTATTTCCGTTTTCTCCCGGGGTATGGTAAGCACCTCAGGTCAGCTAGTGATGCCCAAACATTAAAAACCTTACGCGATACACGGAAGCAATAAACAGACTATTTTTTAAAGCGAARACACTCGAACCATTGGGGATGAAAGGGATGCTTTGCAGAATGAATTAAAAAAAAAGACAAAAAAGTGTTCACGGATCGAGTGTCCTCATTTTAGTTTAGGGTACTCATTTAAATTAAATCTATTTTCAGAACTCATWCCAATACTACCTGTGTTATTCCTGGCAAAATAACAAACAACAAAGGGAAAAATTTACCTCAATCTTGTATCATCGATCCTCCCCCCGCCTATGCGTGGTTTCATGTTGCCGTTGAGGTCCGAAAGAAATCCGCTAAGGTCCTCGTTGATGGCAATTTTGCGGCGGAATTCACTCCAACCTTTTCCTTGAGACAACGTGGAGCAGTGGCAACTGTCAATGGATATAAAAATTTTGTCCTATTCAGAAACTTCAAAATTACTCAGTTAAATTAATTTATTCTCTACTTTCACATCCCCATAATACTTTGCGTCTTTGGGGGGTACCAGAGGGTAAAAACCCACTTATTTTGCTGAAGGCTGATCAGACAATGTTGAAAATACCTTGTTTGGTATCCAAAAATAAAATGAAGAAGTGAAAAACAGAAAAAGATAGAAGCTTGAAGACGTTTAAGGTAAATTTTAAAAACATTTTGTAAGTCAATACATTTTCTGTAAGACCAAAACTCTTGATGATCTGTACACGCAAAAATAACTTGGAATAAACTGATAATCAGTATTGTACAGATAAAAGCAGGTATAGTATAAATTCAATTAAGAAACCTTTCAATTTGGGACAGTTTTTTGATTGGTTACCCCACAAAGACGCAAGGCATTATGGGGATGTGAAAGTAGAGAAATTCATACTCAAGACTGATTTAATTACAGACGTTCCTGGATGGGAGGAGGAGAGCAGAAATACTGGATAATCAGTCTTTCTCAAGTTACGTAATTTACTAAGAAAATTAGGCACGTTTGTTCCTTAAACAACTGCACGGAAATCTAGAACAGCTGTAGTTGCACAAAACTGCAATTTATGTAGACATAAATGCACCTGTGGTGACCTCTACAACTGTCGCTCACATCGTTATAGCTGGAAGTAGAACTAATGCTTTTATTTACTTGCCCGCACAACAASGCAAATATGTACCGTGTGCCACCCCTATGACTGTTCACTCTATTATTATCATTATTACGCACAGTTATTTGTAGAATTAGAACCAATATCTACCTCTAACTCTACCAGAGTACAGTTGCGCACAACGACGCAAATGTATTTTGTCGATCTATGACTGTTGACTCTATTATTACATACATCGATATAGAGTGTGTGCAACCATGTGACTCAAATTTCCTTTAGTTATGAATAACAATATGAAACATGGTTGATCTAGTAGCAATAGAAGCTACTGAAGAATGCTTTGTTAGGTTATCGTCAACCAAGATGGCGGYAATGACGTAACATGCAGCTGTTCTATTGGTAGAAGTAGAACCAATATCTACTCACGTACCATTGTCCGCAACGACGCTTGTTGTTATTATTATTATTATTACTATTACTATTATTATTATTACTATTTTATTTTTATTATTATTACGCACATGGTTATTGGTAGAAGTACAACCAATATCTACTCACGTACCATTGTCCGCAACGACGCAAATGTACCTTGTCGACCTCTATGACTGTGGACTCTATTATTTTTACGCAAATCRTCCGCACTAAAGTAAAGCAAATACCTTCTTGTGTACTGTTGTACGTAAGAACCGATCTGTACTGTGTGATGCTACTGTTACGCGCGCGCACGTTATTGGAATTAACTGAGAATTAGAATAGAGCYCAGATGGGCAGACAGCAGCGTACAAGTTTTGCTGAATCGCCTATTATCTCGTAAGCTGCTGCATGTTAACTCGATAAAACATGCTCAGAAATATGCATATGGATAATTTTGTTTCAGCTCGATAGCTTATTTGTACGCTGACAACGGCTCAAGAATAACTGAAGGTTTTCGAACAGGGAGATAGTGGTTTATAATGTTCAAATAAGTTCTTGAAGAGGGAGTCCTGATCCCAAATCAAGGGCTATTTTTATAACTGGATTATATATCTTGCGTTTTCCCCGAAAATCAGTAAGCAAAATCCYACATCCCAGACATTGAATTCGGCAATTCCCGAGTCACGGCCGAGCCAATATCGATCCCGAATCACGTAAGATTTATTTCTACTTCCCGCGGACCCGCGCTATATTTTATCCATTTCCCGGCCCCCGCGAATACCCTTACAAGCCCTGTGCAAAGGGTTTAACATTAAAAAAATGAAACTAAATGTAGGAATAAATTGAATATAGGAATAGGTTCACTTCTAACCACAAAAGATTAACCTACTACTGATTATACATGAGGTGGAATAATGGTAAAATATATCTC